GCGATTGTGTTTTTGATTTGTCTCTCATCTTAAACAATTGGTTCCCACGGTATTTGGAGACATTGGAAACAATATGGAGCCCATCAGAAGCTAAATCTCAGCCTTAACACTCTCTGGCCAGGATAATCCCAGAGGCTGATTGGCTTTAGGTCTGAATTCCAGGCTCTACTGCAGGGGCTGGTCAGTGGTGGGAAGCCCCTGACACTGAAGTGAGTCAGAGCAAATTGCGGGGCAGGACTTGTCTAACCTGACCATAGTCATCTAGGTGTAGACAGTGTCCCCATCCTGAAATAATAAGCTACACTGTCGTTTTTCTCTCTGTCTCTATCAGCATTTTCAGCACCACTGTTGAAATCTATTTCCAAATTCCATCAGGATAAATGAACATAGAGGTTAGATTCATGATCAGCCTAAATGCTCATAAATGACAGATTGGAAAAGGAAAATGTGGTACATATAAACCATGGAATCCTATACAACCGTAAAAAGAATGAAATCGTGTCTTTGCAGGAAAATGGATGGAGCTGGAAGCCATTACCCTTAGCAAACTAACGCAGAAACAGAAAACCAAATATCACATGTTCTCACTTGTAAGTGGAAGCTAAATAATGAGATCTCATGAACATAAAGGGAACAACAGACACTGGTATCTACTTGAGGGTGGAGGGTAGGAGGAGGCAGAGAAGAAAAAAAGAGAGCTGTCGGGTACTAGGCTTAATACCTGGGTGATGAAATAATCTGTACAACAACCCCCATTAACAGGAGTTCACCTATGTAATAAACCTTTGCATATACTCCCAAACCTAAAATAAAAGTTAGGATACAATAAATAAAAATTTTTTAAAAGAGACTAGATTCACTAAGGGTGACCGAGAGATTCCAGAGCATCATACAGCTTAAATTCCCTGATACAGTGACTTCATCTCATTTCTTCAGGTACATTTTACTTGCCTTTTCAGTACAGAAAACAGTTCCTTAAATTGAAATATCAAGGGAGGGAATGTAATTCTTTGTCTTGCTCTCTGGTAGCAGGATAAGTTTAACTCAAATATTTACAACTGCCTTTCTACTCCTCCCCCCTTTTAAATGAAATTTAGTGTTTATGTCTATGAGCCTCAAATCTCACGTTGTAAAAGCACCTAATTTATACTTTAAAGTGATTTAATGGACAGGAAATCGCTAAGCATTATTTGCTAATCTGCTCTCATCTAACCATAAATATTCTTATTTTCCTTCTCCCCAGGAGCTGGCAGAGTTAATATTCCTATAATTAAATATTGTTTAGTAATTGTCTATCTCTATATATAGTACTAATGAAATGTTGTAAAGTAGGTCTCTCAAACTAGAATTTTTTTTTTGACCACTGAATCCCAGGGGTGGCACATATTAGAGATGTGTGTATAATTGGCAGCATTTGAGGGAAGATAATTCCTATGTGGAAAAAGAGAGGTTGACAATGCTTTTCTCTCATAGGCACAGAAAAACATCATCACCTGGGATAGATCATTTGAAAGCAAAATTGAAACTTTATGATGCCCTGAAAAAGGGTGTCAAATTTCAGTTAGACAAGAGGAACACAGTTTTCAGATCGTTGCACAGCATGCTGACTACAGTTAATAAGAATGTATGTTTCAAAATTGCTAAGTGTGTACATTTCAAATTTTCTCATCACAAAAAATGATATGAGGTGTTGGATATATTAATCAACTGAATTTAATTATTCCACAAGGTATACATATATCAAAACATTACATTTTACCCCATAAATACACGCAGTTGTTATTTGTCAAATGAAAATGTTAAACAAAGGCCCTGTGTGTGGGGTCATTGAATACTATGATTCCAAAGTACAGATAAGGAGTCACAGGTGATGAAATACTGTTTTGCAATGTAATATTTTTTGTAAAAAAAAAAAAAGAAAAGAAAAAAGAAACTATTTTTCTAAATTGGTAAGATACTTATTAAAATATAAGAAAGATTGAAGTTTTCTCTTAATTATGTTGAGTGCTATAGAATTTGCTTTTGGTTTTTCTAGAAGTATAATAGTCAAGGACTTTTTACTTCTTGTCTTGCTTTATGTAGCCATGCAGGAGTCCACTTGTGTAATCGAAGACATAGATCACAGAGCAATAGAGCTGAATGTCTTATAATATGGAAGAAATACTTTTGGAGACACCAGTTTTATGTATAGGTTTGGAATCCTGAAATGCTATTCATAAGTGTTGGCCTGCACATCAGAATGGTTTTTATTATAATAATTTAGTGGACTGCCTAATTCATAATTTAAGCTGAATTAATGAACTTATATCACCTGACTTATTTGCCTGAAGAAGGGCATGGAGAAAAACTTGTGAAATAAAGTAACAATAAACTCAAATTAAAATCCTATCATACGCTTAAAATTCACATTTTTTAATTGAAGGATGAGAAGGATAGATATTCACAAGCTCTGCTCTAACACCACGGTGTGTCCTTGAAGGATTCATGTGGAGAAAATTACTAGAAATAGGAAAGTATGTTTTACAGAATTCTATTTCTTGCTATCTTTTGTCAGCCTTCTCTGACACATAGTAATTACAAAGGTTTTAAGGGGAAAAGAGATGCATTATTATTTTCTCTTTCCTGTCACACTTTCCCATAAGGACATAAAGCCTTTATTTTGTTATATTTGCATTTACATGGAAGTTTTGAAACTAGCCAACCTATTTTGAGTGTGGGGCCGAATTTTGCAGGTCCATGTTCAAAGACCCCAAGAGGCACTCAGAACCTGTCTTTCCAAATCAGTGTCCTCATTCTCCTCCATCCCCTAAACTCACTTGACAGTTAAGCAAGACCACCCCATTTAGCCTATGAGAGTTTCCCAATAGTTTAGAGTGTATTAAGTAATCCATGCACCTTCTCTGTTTCATGCATTGTAGGAGGATTCCACACACAAAATAAAATTAGATCCCTTCCTTGCACACAAGGAGATCTCAGTACAGCATAGAGACCAGTGTCTCTTACGCTGCACTTATGCTGCAAATCAGATGAGAACATCATTAAGGAAGCTGCTCACCTGCCTAGGACAGAAGATGTGTTTTTGTTTTTGAGATAGAATCTCAGTCTCTCGCTCATCCTGACGCGCAATCACTGCTCACCGCAGCCTCAAGCTCTGGGGTGCAGGTGATTCTCCCACCTCAGCCTCTTGAGGAGGTGGGACTACAGGTGCATGCCACCATGTCTGGATAATATTTTGCATTTTCTTTTGTAGAGATGGGGTTTCACCTTGTTGCCCAGGCTGTTCTCAAACTCCTGGGCTCAAGTGATCCACCTGCCTCGGCCTCCCAAAGTCCTGGGATTACAGGCATGAACCATCACGCCCAGCCTTGAAGTGAGGTTTTGAAGAAGTAGAAATTTTCCAGGAACAAATATGGGGTAAAAGTAAGAAATCTGCATATGGAGCAGCTGCCATATGCCAGGCAATTTTCTCAATTATTTATGTGTTAACTAGTCCTCACAACAGAATGAGCTGTAAGTACTGTTTTGGTTGTTGCTGTTTGTTAGTTTTATTTTATTTCATAGTGGTAGGAACAATTGACATGAAATCTATTCTCTTCACACATTTTTAAGTGTACGATAATGTGTTGTTAACTGTAAGCACCATGTTGTCCAACAGATCTCTAGGGCTTAGTCATCTCACTGAATTAAACTTCATGCCTCTGGATGAGTAACTCCCCATTTCTGCCTCCTCCCAGCCCCTGACAACCTCCATTTCATTATTTGAGTCTACGAATGTGAGTATTTTAGATATCTCATATAAGTGGAATTATGTGATATTTGTCCCTCCATTACTGACTTATTTTGCTTACTCTAATGTTCTCCAGTTCACCTGTGTTGTTACAAACATCAAAATTTCCTTTCTTCTTAAAGATTAAATCCTATTCCGTTGTATGAATGTAGCACACTTTCTTTATTCAGTCATCAGCTGTCTGACACTTAGGTTGTTTCTGCATCTTGACTATTGTTAATAGTGCTGCAGTGAACATCCCACATGGGGAGGCTAATATCTTTTTGAGATCCCAAGTTCTATCCTTTTGTATAAACACCCAGAAGTGGGATTGCTGGACCACGTGGTAGTTCTATTTGTAAAGTTTTGAGGAACTTGGATGTGGTTTTCCATAGAGACCTCCCCATTTTTCATTCCCGCCAGCTGTGTGCGAAAGTTGCAATTTCTCCACACCCTCACCAGCTCATGCCACCATACACACACACACACACACACACACACACACACAGACACACACACCCCTATCTATCTTGCCATCTGTTCGTATCTATATGCATATATATATTAGCCATCCTAACAGGTATGAGATGACACCTTGTAGTTTTGATTTGCATTTCTCCAATAATCTTTCCATACACCTGTTGGCCATGTGTATGCCTTGTTTAAAGAAATGTCTATTCATGTCCTTGGCTCATTTTTAAAAATCAGGTCGTTAGTTTGTTTCAGTTAGTTGAGTTGGTTTGTTTTTGCTATTAATAATTATCTCAAGCTTCTAGGCAAATAGCCAAGGCTCTCACTGCTCATTTTAGTCAGCAGCACCTGCCCATTCACAGTAACCACACAAAAGGGTTAATTCATATTTCAAACTCATTATTCATCTCTTGGATCTTAATAGTTTTGTACTTTTTCTCCAGAGTATTCATCTCAATAGAGCTAGCTAATCAGGTTTAGGTTTTCATTAAACAGCTGTCATTTGCTTGCTAGCTCTGTGGCAACTTGATGTTAGATTAAATTTTAATTTAGCCTAGGCTGGATAAAAAGTATCTTTTAAACAACAAAGAACCACTGTTAGCAGGTTACAGTTGTAATTAAGCAGAGGCTGACTGAAATACACATAGATTCACACACAGGGGAATGATTAGGGATAAACACATAAAATCATTATTCAGTCTTGCAGCCTGATTGTGGGAATAAGCTTAGGGTAGAAGAGGACAAAATATTTTAACTACTATACCTTCAGTGTTTTTCTCCCCTTCTCCTTGTCTAGTCCCCTCTCCTCTTCTGGAAATCAATTTACGTATACCTCAGGATGCTTGAAGTTGCCCTGCAGCTCACTGATGCTTTCCTCCTCCTCCTCCCTCCTTCTGTCCTCCTCCTCCTCCTTCTCCTCCTCCTTCTCCTTCTCCTCCTCCTCCTTCTCCTCCTTCTGTCCTCCTCCTCCTTCTCCTCCTCCTCCTTCTCCTCCTTCTGTCCTCCTCCTCCTCCTTCTGTCCTCCTCCTCCTTCTCCTCCTCCTCCTTCTTCTCCTCCTCCTCCTTCTCCTCCTTCTCCTCCTTCTCCTCCTTCTCCTCCTCCTCCTCCTCCTCCTTCTCCTTCTCCTCCTCCTTCTCCTTCTCCTCCTTCTGTTCTCCTCCTCCTTCTCCTCCTCTTCCTCCTCCTCCTCCTTCTCCTCCTCCCCCTCCTTCTCCTCCTTCTCCTCCTCCTCCTTTTCCTCCCTCTGTCCTCCTCCTCCTCCTCCTTCTGTCCTCCTCCTCCTTCTCCTCCTCCTTCTCTCCCTCCTTCTCCTCCTCCTTCTGTCCTCCTGTCTCCTCTCCTCCTCCCTTTCCCTCTCCTCCTATTTCATTTTATCCTCCTCCTTCTACTCTGTCACTACCATCATCTTTAAATTCTCTTCTCTGTTTTTGTTTCATTTTAAATCATTTCTATTGATGTATCTTTAAGTTTACTTCAAATTATATACATTTATACAAAAGTATATACATTTACTATAAATACTATAATGCCTTTTATATTATCTAATCTGCTGTTAATCCTGGATATTTTTATCTCAGATATTATAATTTTTACCTCTAGAATCTTGAGTCTTTTTGTTTTTCTTCCATGCTTCCACTTTATTTTTGAAACAATTAAAATAAAATTATAACTATTTTAATGTCCTTGTATGCCATTTCCTTCATCTGTGTAAGTTCTGGGACGACTTAAAAAAAAAAGTTTAATTTCAACTTTCATTTTAGATTCAGACAGTACATGTGCAGAATTGTTATTTGAGAACATTGTGTGATGCTGAGGTTCGGGATAAGGACCCCATCACCCAGATAGTGAGCACAGTACCTGACAGGTAGTTTAGCCCACCCTGCCTCCACCCTCTAGTAGTCCACAGTGCCTGTTGTTCCCATATTTTATGCCCATGTGTGCTCTATGTCCACTTGTAAGTGAGAAGATGCAGTATTTGGTTTTCCATCTCCCAGGCTCAAGCAATCCTTCCACCTCAGCCCCCACCCCAAAGTAGCTGGGACAGCAAGTACACACCACTATGCCTACCTCATTTTTGTTTTCTTTTCTTTTTTTCTTTTGTTTTCTTTTTTTCTTTCTTTCTTTCTTTTTTTTTTGTAGAGACAGGGTTTCACTATGTTTCCCAAACTGGTCTTGAATGCCTAAACTCAAGCAATCCACCTGCCTTGGCCTCCCAAAGTGCTGGGCTAGAGGCATGAGCCACTGCATCTGGCCAATTTCATTCCTTTTTATGGCTGCATAGTATGCCATGGTGCATATGTTCCGTATTTTCTTTATTCACTCTACTATTGATGGGCACCTGGGTTAATTCTATTTCTTTACTGTTGTGAGTAGTATAGTGATGAATACACAAGTGCATATGTGTTTTGGTAGAATGATTTATTTTCTTTTGGGTATATGCAAGGTAATGGGATTGCTGGGTCAGATGGTAACTCTGTTTTAAGTTCTTTGAGAGATCTCCAGCCTGCTTTCCACAGTGGCTGAACTAATTTACATTCCCACCAACACTGTATAAGTATTCCCTTTTCTCCTCAGCCTCATCAGCATAAGTTGATTTTTGACATTTTAATAATAGTCATTGTGACTGGTTTGAGATGGCATCTCACTGTGGCTTTGATTTGTATTTCTCTGATGATTAGTGATGACAAGCATTTTTTAATACATTTGTTGGCCACTTGTGTGTCTTCCTTTTAGACATGACTGTTCATGTCCTTTGCTCATTTTTAATGGAATTATTTGTTTTTGAATTGTTGCCTTATAAGTTCCTTATAAATGCTGCATATTAGACATTTTTGGATGCATGGTTTGCAAATATCATCTCCCATTCTGCAGATTCTCTGTTTCCTCTATTGATAGTTGCTATTTCTGTGCAGAGGCCCAATGGTTTAATTAGATCTCACTTGTCTATTTTTCTTTTCGCTGAAGTGCCTTTGGGAACTTAGCCAAAAATTATTTGCCAAGGCCAATGTTGAGAAGAGTATTTCCCAGTTTGTCCTCCAGGATTTTTGCAGTTTTATGTCTTACATTTAAATCCTAAATCCATATTGAGTTAATTTTCTATATGGTAAAATGCAGGGCATCCAGCTTCAATGTTCTGCATATGGCTACCCAGTTATTCCAGTACCATTATTCAGCAATAGGGAGTCATGGAATGGTTTTCCATTTATTTGTAATTTATTTGTAATGACTCTGATTTCTTTCAGCAGTGTTTTGTAGTTCTCCTTGTAGAGATCATTGATCTCTTTGACTAGGTGTATGCCCAGGGATTTCATGTTCTGTAATTGTAAGTTGGATTGGGTTCTTGATTGCACTCTCAGCCTAAATGTTGTTAGTGTATAGAAGTGCTACTGATTTTTGTACATTGACTTTGTACCTGAAACTTTACTAAAGTCACTTACAAATTATAGGAGCCTTTTGGCAGACCCTAGTATTTTCTAGGTATGGAATTATATTGTCAGCAAAGAGAGATAGTTTTATATTTTATATTTTCTTTTCCTATTTGGTTGCCTTTTATCCCTTATTCTTGTCTGATTGCTCTAGTTAGGACTACCAGTACTAAGTTGAATAGGAGGGCTAAGAATGGGCATTCTTATCTTATTCTAGCTCTCAGTGGGAATGGCTCTAGCTTTTGTCCATTCAGCATGATGATAGGTATGGGTTTGTCATAGATGGCCCTATTAGTTTGAGGTATATTCCTTTGATGCCTAGTCTGTTGAGGGTTTTTATTATAAAGGGATGTTTGATCTTATTGAAAGCTTTTTTGTGTGTCTATTGAGATGATTATATGGTTTTTGCTTTTGATTCTGTTTATGTAGTGAATGACATTTATTGATTTGTGTATATTGAACTAGCCTTGCATCCCAGGAATAAAGCATAAAACCTACTTGATAGTAGTGTATTAACATTTTGATGTTCTGCTGGATTAGGTTGGCTAGTATTTTGTTGAGGATTTGTGTGTCTATGTTCATGAGGGATTTTTTATTGATCTGAAGTTTTCTTTTTTTACTTTGTGTTTGCTAGATTTTAGTATCAGTCTGATGTTGGGTTCATAGAATGAGTGAGTGTGAAGCCCTCCTCTTCGATTTTTTGCAATACTTTCAGTAGGATTGGTATCAGTTCTTTTTACATCTGGTAGAATTCAGCTGTGAATCCATATGGTTCAGTGCTTTTTTTGGTTTGTAGGTTATCTATTACTGATTCAATTTCACAAGTTGATATTGGTCTATTTACGGTTTCAATCTCTTCCTGATTCAATCTTGGAAGACTCTGTGCTTCCAGGAATCTATTCATTTTCTCTAGACTTTCTCATTTGTGTGCACAGTTATTCATAGTAATCTCTAACTGTTGGGAACAGGACCCAAAATCTGGTCATAAACTGGCCCCAAAACTGGCCATAAACAAAATCTCTGCAGCACTGTGACATACTCATGATGGCCTTGATGCCCACACTGGAAGGTTGTCGATTTACCGGAATGAGGGCAAGGAACACCTGGCCCACCCAGGGCAGAAAACCACTTAAGGCATTCTTCAACCACAAACAATAGCATGAGCGATCTGTGCCTTAAGGACATGTTCATGCTGCAGACAGCTAGCCAGAGCCCATCCCTTTATTTTGGCCCATCCCTTTATTTCCTGTAAAGAATACTTTCAGTAAATCTTATGACCGACTTGCTGTCAATAAATATGTGGGTAAATCTCTGTTCAAGGCTCTCAGCTCTGAAGGCTGTGAGACCCCTGATTTCCCACTCCACACTCTGTATTTCTGTATGTGTGTCTTTAATTCCTCTAGCGCCACTGGGTTAGGGTCTCCATGACCAAGCTGGTCTTGGCACTAAGAATCTTTTTTATTTCTGTAAAATCACTTGTCATACCACCTTTGTTGTTTCCAATTGTGCTTATTTGAATCTTTTCTTTCTTTTTATTTGATAATCTAGCTAGAGGCCTATCAATCTTATTTTTTTTTTTCAAATAACCAACTCGTAGTTTTATTCATCTTTGTATGGATGTTTGCATCTCAATTCCATTAGGTTCTCTAATTTTAGTAATTTCTTTTATTCGAACAGCTCTGGTGTTCGTTTGTTCTTTTTTTATTGTTCCTTTAGGTGTAAAGTTAGATTGTTAATTTGATAACTTTCTAACTTCTTTATGAAGGCATTTAGGGCTATGAAGTTTCCTCTTAACACTGCTTTGGCTGCATCCCAGAGATTTTGGTAAGTTGTGTCCTTGTTTTTGTTAATTTCAAATAACATTTCTCCTGTCTTAATTTAAATCTTCATCCAGGAATTATTCATAAGTTATTTTGTTTTCATGTAGTTGTGTGTTTTGAGAGATCTTCTTGGTATTTTCTGTTTTTATTGTAGTGTCATTCAACTGTGTGCTTGATATTCTTTCAATTTATTTGAATTTATTGAGGCTTGCTTTAAGACTAATCATGTAGTTTATCTTAGACTATGCTCCTTTTTGCAAATGAGAATATATATTCTATGGTCGTTGGGTGGAATGTTCTGTAGATGTCTATTAGGTCCTATTGTTCAAATGTCAAGTTTAAGTCCAGAATTTCTTTGTTAATTTTTTGCCTCAGTGATATGTCTAATGCTGTCAGTGGTGTGTTAAAGACTCCCACTATTATTGTCTGGTTGCCTAAGTTATTCATAGGCCAAGAAGTTGTTTTATGAATGTGGGTGCTCTCTTGAAGATGATTGGGTCTTGTTTCTTTGTCCTGCCTGATGCTCTATGTCTTTTAAGTAGGGGTGTTATAGCCCTTTTATATTGAAGTTCAGTATTGATATGTGTAATTTTAATCCTGTCATTGTTTGGTTAGTTGGTGGCAATGGTGGCATATATATGTATATGGTGGTGGGTGTGTAT